AAAAAAATGGACTGAACTCATGTTTAATAAGTCCACTTCAACGATATCTACAGAAATAGAGAAGAAGTTGAGTAAATTACTGTATGAAATAATTAATAACAAACCCATATCCATTGTTCTAGGTATTGTTTTCAGATGGTATATTATATATAAGTTAGATACACAGGTAGATCTATGGGAAAGAGTGGGATATTCCGGCTGAAGCCCCTCCAAAATGTAACTATGTCTTATGAAAAAAAATTATTTCTAAAAGTATTGTTGTTCTGCTAATTACATTTAATAGTACTTCAAGAATCACTTAAAACCATTTCAAATAGGTAGTAAATTTCTTTCTTTTTCTTCTAAATTAATAATTGCTGTATATGTATATAAAAAAAAAAAGTCTCCCTGCTGAAGCCCCCAAAATTAAATCCTGGCTGGATCCACTAGTGGTTGTATACTTCTAATTTCGAATACTTCTAATATTTCATCTACTTTTTCATATGACTTCTTCAGAGTTATGAAAAAAAACCCAGGGAAGAAGCATAAACTTGTAATACATTATTGACATTGAAGTTTAAATATAAACAGATATTAAAAAAATGAGAAACTTATAAAAGATAATACTGCACTACACAAGAAGTATTCCATACCATTGATGGGTCATTTATACATATCAAAACTTTAGGGATACAATTTAGTATAAATTATAAAGGAGCATAATAAAACGGAGGTAATAATTTATTTGAATGTATCCACAGCAAACTACTATCCTAGCTATAATTAAATACTCAGACCAGTTTATAAAAATGATTTTTTTAACATATCATATAAGAAACGTACATATCTCATGAAATCTGAAAAAAAATAATAAAAGTTCATATCAAAATACATATAACGATATTTAAACTTTATAAAAACAAAGCCGGTAAAAACCAACGAACTCACCTCCTCGATTGCACGTCAAGCACTGACAGTTAAGCCGCCAGATAGTAAGGTTCCAAAGAGATTGGTGCAATCTAAGATGGATACGTTCGTCGACTTTGTCTCAAATACTAATAAGATTCAAGCATGACCTAACTTCACTTAAGTAAAACGTTTCAAAATTTCTATTGAGACATCTTACAACAAAATTATAAATCAAGAAGATTGTTTGGTTTGGTACTATTGTACAAGTATTAGTCCACTGACGAATGGGTCAATACAGTCTGATCACGTTATAAATGCAATTCCGCGAATGGCTGAAGATTTCTAGTGCGTACACGTTATAATCTTTCTTCATTTAGATCGCGATTTCTGACAACCGCAAATACCCAGTAGGTCCTTATTAATTAAAATCGGGGCCTTAATCAGCTTTATTTATATCGCCAATTTCGACCTACGCTGACTGCGCTCGCTCAAAATGGATATATATGCCCCCAACTGGTCCTTTTCAGTTGCATTCGGGGCCTTACCAGATAGTTCGTTCAAAATCGGGCCTTGCCAGATGGTTCAGACACAGCCGGTGCCATTCTCGGGATTAAAGCAACACCTGCATAGTACTTTGTTTTTAAACATTCATTTTCATCTACCGTATGAATTTTTTACTGCTTCTATAACTGGAGTATTCCAATTTGGTTCTGCCGTCAATCCGTTTCTTTGTAAAGAATTTATTTTAGAATAAAAGAAGTTTAAGACATACTAGGTTTTCAGGTTCTACTTTATGTAGATTGTGACGGTAGAGCGCTGACGGTCAGAGAAGAGACTATTGATGTCTTCTTTACCTTGGCGTAGAGGAGGGGATATGCTCTTATCCCCCCAACACTTAGCTACTATCCTCCCAACCTGCTCTTGCGATTTCCCTAGATTTGAAAGTATCGTGCGTTGTTTTCAAATTTAAGTCCAAAAATCAACAATTTATATATTGGTCATTGAAAATTATAAGTGAAATAATGGAGCGTATGTGTATAGTAATTTATGCATGACAGTTGCTGTTGGAGGAAACCAGTGCTCTTTAAGGGTGGTAGTGCTACTGAGGAAGGAAGTATAGTAATCTATTTATGTTTTAGCCTTGATTTCATATTTTAAAGTCTCGTAGGTCTCCTTAAATTTTTACCCATTCTAGATACTATATCATAAAATTTTGCAAATATGTTTACTAAACCAGAATGATAACATCAAGTCTCCTTCCACCAATAATCAGCGAGAATATCATTTAGCTCCTCCCCCCTCATACTTTGAAGTACAATACAAAAAAAAATTAAAATCAATAACAAATAAGATGTATGCATATATAAAATATGTACACTGTAACAAATAAAGAAAATAGGATAGTCAACTAGTTGGTTAGGCTAAGGCTTAGAATTATGCTACTAAGTATTTTACTTAGCCCTGACATGTTGCTACTATTTAAATTTTCATTTATATAAAAATATAATAATACATTGCAACATTTCCTAAGATTGTATGTTAAATTCCGAAATGCACCCTTCCATTTTATCATGATATTCTTATCATCTTTTTTAGGGCAAACATCGGCGACGGTTCATCTCCCTTTGGCGAACCTTTTCTAGATTCAAAGACTTCAGATACTTCATATTCAATTTTGTATCAGGACAAGGGATTTAGGACGATTTGTTCACGCCGTCAATCTCACCAATAACCCAGGAACTCTGAGCTCACCCATGATCTTCCGAAGTGAGTTTCATCCAACGGAATCATAGGCTACTTTAAACGCCATAAGTAAGGCGTGAATATCCTGAGCTCTTCTTTGTTTTTTTAAATACATGTTATGCACTCCTTATTCGTCATCCTGAATAATGCTTGGTAGTTGCCTATCATATTTTCATAAATCGGATATGGAAACCAGAATGAGTGTTTTTTCCTCCATAATTATCACAAACATAAAACCCTTTTTTAGGATAGAATACATTAGGCTCTTGCTTCAAGCCTCTTGTATTCTTTCCTGCTCTCCTATTTTCTGGATTATCACTAATAGCTTGGCTCTTAGGTGTTATACTCCACCTTTAAATCGTTCTGATCTGGCTGTCTATCTCTGGGGCCTTCTCCTTTTAAGCCGATAGCTTTTTTCACTTCCAGGATATTAACCTGTTGTGGTCCGTGGTGCTCACCGTGGTCCGTCTTCGTCGTTAGTGGGTTTACCTTGATTGGGGAGCTACAGAATGTACAAGTTGTTCATTCTAGATGCATATTATTATTATTTTATGTCGTTACTTTACCATGCTTTCATCCCACTTTCGTATTTCTCGCTTTATATCACACCCATTTTATTCTGATTTAAAAGTTAAATTTGCATATATTATAAGCTTTCCAGGTGTTCTGAATGGTCCAGTTTATTTGAGAATTTATTTTATTTGTTTTTTCCTGACGGCTGTTTATTTCTCCGGAGTTGTTCCATCGGTTTTTGGCTAAACATGCTTTCATGTTTTGTATTTCCTCTACGACGTCCTTTTCTGTAAACTGTTTCTTGGGTTTTCGTTTCTCCTGATTTTTTTTTGTTATTGTCTTGGTTTGGAGAATGCTTCATACATCATAATAGGAACTAGTGATGGTCAACACTAGTTGATGTGATGGTTTATCACGAAGTGTTGCAACATTTTCTGTTACTTTCAAAAAACAGTTTAAAAGAAAAAAAAACTGAAAATAGATACAAATATTTAAAAACTCGACGAAAAAAAAAGCAACTCATCTAATTTCAACATTGTTGGATCCAAGGTTCAAAAATATGGGATTTTCAATGGATAAAATTGCTAATCAGGTTATATTATTGTTAACTTTTCTTTATTTTCAGAATTTTTATCATGTTAATAGTAAGTAATTAGTTTTTAATGAATATAATTTTTATCTCCAAAGTAATTATCAATTTAATTGTTAAATTTTAATTATACCTTTTATAATATATCAACAGTGGGACAAAAAAAATGTATTTATGATTGGTAATAAAAAGTCAAACTAACATTAAAATTTTAATTCCGAATCATCACGCATTTTAAAGGCAATAAATAAATTTATTGATGAAGATAATGAACAGTTATTATTACTGTTATTAAACAGTAAACTACATAGCTGTTTATAGGTTGCAGCAGTGCAATGGCCAATGATTAATTGAAAAAGCTGTCAAAACATTATACAGTACAGACGGGGTTTCCTTTTTTGTAAAAAGTTCTCTTTTTAGGGAATTCCAAGGTAGAGAGGAGAGAAAAAAGGAAACAATTTCATCAATTCTAAGTTTAACTATTTAATTTCTTTATTTAATAATATCAATAAAACGAGTATATAGTTACATATAATATTAGGTATTATTTGGGCGGAAGGGATTTTTAAATTCGTTCTGAGGGAAAATCTGACTGACCCAAACGGAAATTACAGAAAAAAAAATGTGGTCGAAGAGCTGAGTGCATGCTAAACTGCTTCATGCTGCTGTTTCTGAATATGTTGCAAATAAGAGGGCTGTATCTCTTTCGAAGGGCTTCATCGTTTTGAGACCACCGTATCTGTTATCGGAGGGCTCTATGTGTATCAAAGAATTGTTTCTCTATCTGTTACAAGATGCTGTTTAAATTAGACAGCTTTATGTATCTGTTTCAGTAATCTGTTTACGTATCTGTTGCAAGAAGCCGTTTAAATTAAACAGCTTTCTGTATCTCTAAAAATAGCTTCTGTATCTGTTCCGGAGGCTGTTTCTGTTTCAGAGAATTCTTTCTGTTTCTGTTGTAAGATGCTGTTTAAATTAGACAGCTTTCTGTATCTGTTTCAGAAATCTGTTTGCGTATCTGATGGAAGAAGCCGTTTAAATTAAACAGCTTTTCGTATCTCTAAAAAGAACTTCTTTACCTGCTTAGGAAAGATGTTTCAATTAAACAGATTCAATGTTTTCCTCGTTACCCGTCGGTATCGCTGTCTCCACCAGTTTTATTAACCTGTCATGGGTAAGTTCCTAAACTCAGGGATGAGTTTGATGGCTTCGTTTTGCTTTGTTGAGAGATGCCATTGCTAAGTTCAACGCTGAGATTAAGGACCTGCTTCTTCGATTACCTTGTGTCTGTTTAATCTCGGATGAAACAGTTTAATGTATCTGTTTAATGAAAGAAACTATTTAAATTTAACAAATTGTTATTAAACACCCCACCACTAATAGGAACTAATGTCCGAAGATACTCGTATCCTCTACTTAAGGATTAATCTATGAACCTGAACCTGTACTTAAGGATTAATATATGTATATTCCAGGTTTTGATCTGTAACTTTGTTTTGTATCTTCTTAAAGATTATATGCTCTTTGTTTGAAGTATTTATTTGATGATAACTTATCGATTTGTAAATGATATCTTTTTTTACCTTAGTTTTCTCTATCTCATGCATTTGTTTGTTATAACCTGGCCGGTGATATACTAATTTGTGAACATGGTTTTAAAATTTTGTGCCAATTTATCATTTATGTTTGATGAAACAGCTTCATTGCTTGAAAGGTACCAATTGGCTAAAGAAGCAGGTTTTTCAGGAATTGAATGTGCTTCCCCCTATGATTTCCCTTTGCAGGAGATAGTTGAAATTAAGGAACATACTGAACTTCAACAAGTTTTGATCAATGTTCCTATTGGAAATGTGTCGGAAGGTGAACTAGGCTTTGCTGCATTGCCTGATAAGACTGAGAGATTTGTTGAATCATTCAACCGTTCCATTCTATATGCAAAAGGATTGAAGTGTAGCTTGATTCATATTATGTCGGGTTTAGTACCCGATAAAACTCCTTTACATAATTTAATTTTTGAGAAGAATTTAATAAGTATTGTTCCAATACTAGAAAAAGAGGGTATAATTGGTGTAATAGAGCCTATAAATCCTATAACTGTACCTAATTATTTCCTTGACAATTATGAATATGCATTAGATGTAATCAAGCAAATTAACAGCCCTAATCTAAAACTCCTGCTTGATATATTCCATCTTCAACACATTGAAGGAAACTTAACTCAAAATATTAAAAGCCTATTGCCATATGTTGGCCACATTCAAATAGCGCAGGTTCCGGGTAGGAATGAGCCAGGAACACCAGGAGAAATTGATTACAGTTATATTTTAGATGTAATAGAACAAGAAGGCTATGCAGGATGGATAGGTTTGGAATACAAACCATTGTACTCCTCTAAAGAAGGATTAGTTTGGTTAGAAAAGTTTGGTTATTCACTTTAAATTGTTCCAGTGGAACAATAAATTCTCAACTTATTTGTCAGTTTTAAAATTATGATTGTGGTTGTTTTTTAATTAAAATGTACTTTGAGATTATTATTTGTTATGACTAAATAATGTTAAAAGAAAAATTAACTACTAGCTGTTTAAGGAAAATAAATGTATAGAATTAATCAAAGTCAATCAAATTAATATCAGAATAACTGGTTTATTTTTTTAAATAATGTCCAAGTTTTTCCAGGTTAAAAACAAATTTCCTAGAAATAAGAATCATTAATGCAAAATATAATGTACCTATATTAGCAATTAGTTTTTGTGCCAGTTTAAATCTAAATTAAATAACTTTCTCTGACCATATTGATGCAGAAATTAATTATTACTCAAAACAAATTGGTGAGTTAAAGAGGTAAACTTTTAATAGTGAATGTTACCTCCTCTCCCTTGAATTACTTCCTCAAGCATTTGATCAAATGTCAAGCATCCTCTTTAAAAGTATAATATGACCATCAGTATTATCTTAACTAAGTAAATTAGTACCATGGTAATGCCTCCATATATAAAGCTTGTCTACTATAACTTTTTTATGTAATTTATGTAACTTTTTTATGTAATTTGTAACTTTTTATGTAATTTATGTAACTTTTTTATGTAATTTGTAACTTTTTATGTAATTTATGTAAATTTATGTAAACTTTTTTATGTAATGTAGGTAGTTTTTTGAAAAATTCCAGTTTATTGGAATATATATAATACAGTATAATAATATACAAGTACATACATATGTACATTGTAAAGATTTTTATTTTTTTAATTGTAAAGTTTTTCTAAATAATATAGTTTTTAGGTTGTTAAGGTTCGCAAATGAAAACTGTAAGAATCACATAGAATACAATTCATTTAATAAAACCAAAAGGAAAATTTACAATAAAAACATGATGCAATTTTTTAATGAAGAAACTTATTCTTTACCTACATAATAGAATAGAGAGTAGATTTTGGTAAGCTAATTTGAGTTGACCCAATAACTGAAAGGAACTATGTATAATACCATTCTAAAAATCAATTCTCTGGAACAACATGTGTAAGACAAAAATTGGTAAGAAAATTAAAATAACACCAACAAAATTGTATTCAGCCAACATTAGAAGATGATTTAAATTTTTTTACCTAACTCCTAAGAATGAGGTCTCAACCCACTGCCAAAAATAAAAGAAACTAGAAAATACAGCATAAAAACCATAATTTGAAAAGTTTTTTTATTAACAATTTTTTTTTTTACAACATATACTGTGTTGCTATGCCTATAAGCTCCAGATAAAAGCAGCCAGCGGCCATGCCTTCTATGTCTTGTAACATTCTCCTCTTAAGAGTCATGTTTGTCGTCTTTTTATCTGTTGATGGAGATTAATTTTGACGATTGCTCACTCCTGTGGCATTCTTTGATATACCATTTTAATAAAATTTTAAAAGTAAATAAATAAAATTCACACATTGGAATAAATTTCAACAGAATTTTATTTATAAACTTAGTTTAAATAACAAATCATATATTTTATTGCCTAATTATTTATTGAATATCTATCATTCCTGAAAGCCATGAACAAAATTTGAGCTAAGTCTCAGATGGAGAAATTGATTAATTAGAATATAATAAAATGAGTGCATACTTGCCATGATTTTGTAAATTAATATAACATTGAAAAGATAAAAACTAAAGGTACTTATCTAATAGCGGGTAGCATCGGACTGCTATCTGCCAATGTTTATAACCTTAACACTGATAAGCTCTTCCTATTAATATTTATAGTATTATATTCATATTATTATATGTTCGTGTTCATATTTATTGTATTGTTTGATATTATTGAAATTGTGAACAAAAACAGAAACAAATGTAATAATAACAAAATGCTTTTATTTTACAACGTATATATTAAAATAGACCAAAACATAATAAATATATAATTAGAAAACATTGCAACATATATATAAAAATAAATGAAATAATAAAAATAGACAAAAAAAGATGAAATAATAAAAAACTACTTAAACATGTACATATAAAACAAACATAATGAAATACGAACATACGAAAACATTGCAAGTTCCGATGGATAGTTTGAGCTGCCCTTTTCCCCACTGTATTTTTGGTAAATTATGGGACCGCCCATAAATGAATTTTAAAGCCATTAAAAAAGAAATCCTCGACCCCTCTAACCATGTTCCTTTCCTTATAGAAACGGTTTGGTTACACCTACGAAAGCATCTCCACTTAATCTTTCCGCCGAACTTCATTTTATGACCCTCATTACAATATTTCACCTTATCAAATATACCGGCGTCTTGAAAATATTTGATAGCCTCTTCTTCTGAAGATGGCAATTCCCACAATGCGACAAGATCCATAATTAAATAAACTCACATCTGGCACAAGAAACAAAAACTAAACAACAGAATAACTTAGGTTAGATGAGATAAGGGAGGTCATCTGAAATGAGATTAGATAAGAAGGGAGGTTTTGACGCTACCTGCTACTGGATAAGTACCAAACTAAACATTGAACTAATGAAACAATCAATTGAATTGAAAAAGTAATTAAATATAAGCTACGGTTGGTTTGTTAGTGGTTCCAAAGCCTAACATGTATACTGTTTAGGTTTTGATTAGATTAGATTTTCCTTCAAAACCTTAAAAAAGTTCTGTTAATTTTTTAATTTGATAAATACAATTAAATATGAGAATATTATTAAATATATTTATAATTGAACAAGTAATATTTTTCATTTAACTTTTCTTGGTTTGCATGTCATCTTTTCAAGGTTCAAAACTTCATGCATGTGAGTAGCATTACTATTTTTCATAATCATAATTATGGTAATAAAAGGAATCCTAACCATTTATAATAATCAAAACAACATCATTTATAATTAATTTATTAATAAAAAAATACATCCAAAAATTACAAGAAATATTATGGAATATAATAATTTTTTTTATTATAACAATAATTGTTTCTGAAAAATATTAAAAATAAAAACTATCTACTATCTTAAATTTCTGGATAATTTTGTAATTTGTCAAACTCTTATATTTCTATTGTAAATATTTTGAATGACCAATAAAAATTAGCCTGATATAATAATAGATCACTAAAAAACAAAACCTCTCAATATAATGATGAAGAAATAAAATTAACAAATTAATAATTATTTTTATAAATTTTAAGTACTTAAAAAGTAGTTAAGTAGAAACATTTATAAAATTAAAACTAGATGGTTCTAAAAAATCGCATATTATTCAAGATATTTTTTTACATATCATTTGAAGAATTGAACTTTTTTTTACAATAAACAATGTAATTTTTAAATAGGCTATAATTTAATGATTAATTTAAGTTTTATCATTTTACTATTTTTTGCTGTAAACTAACATCTTTTTAATATATATTTGTTTTTTTACTTTCAAACATAAGTAACCTTTATAAATATACTTGGGTACTCATTCGACCATGGCGTACATAATTTTGCACAATATATTTTATGATGCATTATCCATATTTATAATGATTTAAAAAAAAAACATACTTATTTTATTATATAAATAAATTACAGATAATCAGTTATAAAAATAAATACATTTTTTTTCTGTAGAAGAACAATTATTATATATCATTTAATAACTTTAACTCAAAAAAACCTTTGGCATCAATGTCAATAATTCTAAAAACTAAAACAATAAAAAATAGATAGCAATCATTTTTAAATGCTATAATCACATTGATTCATAAATTAATAAAATCAAATAACAAAACCAATGATTAATGAGTAAAAAGAATCATAAAAACATAGAATCTTGATCTAGAAATGGTTAGATCTAAAATATTACTAACATGGACATAAACAAAAAGAGATTATGCTAGATTAACAAATCCTTTATATTCTTGTTGTATCTTCCACAATCCAAAGCATATTAAGTCCAGCAGGACCAAGATTGATCCTTCCAAGCATTCCATCATGATTGATTTTAATGCAATGAATAAACAGAAGCAAAGCATATAACACATTATTGCTACCCTAAAAAACAAAACAAAACTAGCTAAATTAAAGATTATATAAAAAGAGAAGTAAAGTTACTATAATATATTTGAATCGGTTATTATAGCAACAACAAATGTGACATTTTTACAATTTTGAAAACCTCACATTTTGTAAAACTATCAACTATTTTGTAAAAAAATTTCATAGATATAAGTTGACAAAAATTTGTTTAATGTTAAATACAGTAATTTTATAGCACTTTACATTTTCTTTTATCTTCACAAATGACCAAGAAACATATCACTCAAGTTAAGTAGAGGATAACAGTATTTCTAAAGCACTGAATCGAGTCCCAATAGGCTAGGGGTTTGACGGGACCAGAACCCCCCCTCTGGATCATTGGAAATCTAGATTAAATGAAATTTGCTCAAAAATGAACATGATAAATGCTTTAGTACTTTTTTTCTCTCTCTCATAAATGCACATTTTCCTTCAGCTTAAATATATTTTCAATAATATATAATGCATATGCTAACCAATGTTTTCATACTAGGAACCGAGATAGAATTAACAAAAATATCTTTTTGATTAAAAATAAGAATTTATTTATCGTATAAAATCCAAAGCACAAAGCAACCAAATATTGTAATGTAAATATTGAGAATTTTAGAAACTAAACATTTCACTGAAACATGTGAATGTGTAAATGGGTTGTTGTTAAATTTACGAATACACATAATTGTTTTTGTATAACAGAGATGAAACGAATCTGTTTCATGTTACCTGAAAACAAGCATGAGTAAACGGCCTATGCCAAACCCTCTCTTTAAAATATTTTTATACCAATTGTTCACTAAATTAAACTAAGTTTTTATTTTTTTTAAATCCTAACCAGATATCAGGACAATTGTCACCTGGTTAGTGAGATTCTACTAAAAATAGATGGTATTCTTCGAAATAATAAATTTATAAAATAAGAGGATAGAATTGTATATACAATATATCGTTATATACTTCATACAAATGTTTAAAATTATCCTTAACTAATTCATAAAATTCTAATGACTTACAGGAGGTAATTGATGAATTTCACCATTTACTATTAGCTGGTAGTATGGAGGACGACTTCCTTGTTGGTAAATCGCAAGTTCTGTTTGAGTAGGCTTTTTTGGTGACTCAACAAAGTATTGAGTAGAAAATGGTCTTCTTAATGGTTCGCTAATCAAAGGTGGCAACTTAGCATCAAAATAAGTAACCATCAGATGCATTATTAGCTAAAACATCCACAGTCATATTTAATAAAAAGTGATATTACTGTTTGATAATATCAACACATTTAAATTGACATATCTTTAAGATTTAAATAAGCTCTGCTTTCACTTTCAAGTATAATATAGAGATGAAGCAGTCCTAATGTTTTATGTAGCACATTCATTCTGGTTCTTTTAAGTTGGGAGGAACAGTAGGCTGACATTAACAATTTTACACCATTTAACATACACTAGAATAACTTATACGCTCTAGATCACAGTTATACACATTAATCAGTAAAATCTACAAAAAAAATCGTCTAAAACCCAATTGAAATTCCAAGAAAATATTATTGAATGAATGAATGAATAAATATATATATTTTCTCGATTAAATTACATAATTATCTTAAAGGAAGGAGACGGTCCGGGGTGGCAGTCATAAATAGGCTAAATAGTTTTGCCACTATGTAGCCTATTTATGATCACCACCCCGGACTATCTCCTTCCTTTATAATGCAACGGTCAACTATTAAATATCCAACATAATTATCTTAATTATATATATACAATAAATAAGCATGGAAAACGTCCGTCTATTTGGAATTAGCTGTTCATGTTGCTCTTACTAGTAAAAATATTTGAGTACACATTTACGAAAATATAAACAGAAATAAAAGCACAAGAGTTAAATATTATTAAGATAGAATTATTATGTATAAACCTCGACTACTTTAATATCATATGTATATATATATGTATATATAGCATTTTCAAGTCAATTTCAACCTTTTCCAAGTCAAAATAAACTTTTTCCAAGTCAAATTCAACCTTTTCCATTTCAAATTATTTGAATTTGATTTATTCGATATTAGGGTCTACTTCATATGTTTCCGGGCCTTAAATTTTTAAAATGGCCTCCATTTTAAGATTACGCCACAGCGTTTTGACTAATTTAATAATTTAAGTTTTTCCGATATTTTCCATATACGAGTGTATTATTATGTTTCTGGAGCCATAGATTTTGAAAATGGGCTCCATTTTAAGATTACACCACTTATTTAAGTTGTTTTGAGTTATTCGGTATAAAGATGTATTCTTATGTTTCCGGAGCTGTAAATTTTGAAAATGACCTCCACTTTAAGATTACGTCACTGCGTTTCGACTTATTTAAGTTTTTTTTAAGAAGGTCATTTATAATAGAAACAGTAACGGCGAAAAAACACACCCCTGCCTCAGACCTATTGTTGTTTTGAAAGACCCAGTTAATCCTTCCGGAGTCTAGAACGAAGCTTCAGTACAGTTGTACATCTTGCTTAGAATCTCGACAAATTTTGTTGACACTCCCATTGCATATAGTTTATAAAAGAAGGTACTTTTCATTGGTGAATCAATTGTGACGCTAAAATCAACAAAAAATGTATACAATTTTCTTCTCTTCGAAGCGGTTTTAATTATAATTATATTATATAAATTAAATAAATTGTTAATAATGAAGTATCCGGGCCAAAAACCTGCCTGAAATTCATTTAATATATTGTCTTTTTGGACCCAGCTCTGTAGCCTATTTAACAAGAACCATGCAAAAAGTTTATAGTCTGCTTCTGTGATGGATATTCCTCTATAACTGTTCACAATATTTTTGTCACCCTTTTTAAATATAGAAAATAAAATTGACTTTGAATAACTCTCTGGCACATCACCCGTTTGATATATATATGATTGAATACATCAAATAAACTTTCTTGAAATGCCGCGGGACTGTTTTTATAAAATTCACTTGGTAACCTACTCAACCCCAGGGCTTTACCGTTTTTGGCTCTAATCATGACAGCTTGTAATTCTCCAGATTGAAAATCTGCATCTAGTTCTTTATCTCTTTTGTAAGAAGAGGCATATAGCATTGGGGGAGATACTATTTGTGGGTTTAGTAAATTTTGAAAATATTGTGACCATTTTAAAGTACCGGATGACTTTAAAAATTACGGTAAAAATTATACCGGATACGGTAAAAATTATTTACTATTTTCCAAAACTCAGCGGAATCTTGAACTGCTTTTAGCTTATCCACAATCCTGTTTGAATATTGTAGTCTGTTTGTGTTATATATATATATATATATATATATATATATATATATATATATATATATTTGTACTCTCTGTTAGCCGTATAGTAAAGATCTTTTACCTAATCTATATTTGATTTCCTAAATAATTTCAGAAGTGTGAACAAACGATTCCTGTATGTTTTACATTTTTTATCATACCATACTTGTTTTGGTTTTATAGCAATTCCCTCTTTCCGGTTTACTATGGGTGCCCATTGTTTAATTTGGTTCAATAATAATAAACAGGGAGTTGACTGAACTCTCATATCTGAACATTTATATGATATAAGTAACAAAGGTTGATAGATTATGCTAGGCACGGTATTTTACTAGAGATTGAATATCAAACCCAAAGTAAGCTATTTGATGAATTCATTCATGTGAAAAGAAGGGAAGGGAAGCAGATGAAATTACAAGATAAATTGACAGATCAAGAGTTGCAATGAAATGGATGAAAAAGTAGATAAGAGAAATAAAAAAATATTGTGCTAAATAACAAAGTTCCATTACCCACCCAAAAATTCTATATTAGATATATCATACACTGAAAATAAATTTGATCCATATCTCTATATGAGAGAAAATGTCAAAATGGTTGGCATCATATTAGAAATTAGAATGTTTAAATCTATAAATACAATCATTTGAGTAACTCCTATGACCGAAATTTTGGTGTTCTCAATCAAGCACAATTATTTCTGTTTTGTTTGAAGTTAAGTGAAATTCATGAAACATTAAACCAAAATGGGGCTAAACTTTTTTTTGCAGTCTGAAATTTAAATAATAGCTTAATACAGGGGTCTCCAAAATATTGCTCTTGGTCAGCTCCGGTCCAGCCCGAGAGCAGCTCCGAACCAGCCCAAGAAAGTTTCTGTGATTACATGCTTTTTATATATGCAATTTAGTAAATCACTCATATACGAGGTTACTACAGCATTTATGATATGAGTTTTTTCTCTTAAAAAACTCATTTCACCGCTGAAGTATCATTAATAGAACAAGATATATTTTTTTCTGATATAATATATAATTTAAGATATATCGCACGTCATGGCCCACGGAACATACAAGATCTCAATACGGCCCCAATACATAGTGGAAGCCTCAATGTGGCCTACAGGCCAAAAAGTTTGGAGACCCTTGGCTTAATATATACATTAGGTAAATGGATTATTATTCAATATAAATAAATAAAATTGTCTACCTCAGCATCCGAAGGTAAATGTGCATCCCAAGGAATATCATTAAATTTTCCACCACTTTGACCATCAAAGTCTCGCATTGTACTGCCCTCTGCAAGCTCTAAATAAGCCATTTATTATAATTAAAAATCACAAAATAATATGAATCAATATTTAAAGTATTAAAAAAATGAAGTTTTTCAAACTAGAATTTAAATTAAAATATTAGTAATTTTATATAAATTATTAGTGAGGTTGAGATTGGTTGGGCAAAACCAATATTTAAAATTATATTTACTTAATTCTGTAAGATTCAAAATTAAGTTAAATATATTTTTTATTTTAATGCTTATATTTTAAGTAAATGGAATGGACTAGGATAGTTTTTTTTAGTCTAAAAATATGTTTTTTAGACCTATGTGTATACAACGGGAGCAGCACTGGGGAAGACTAACTGACTGTCTAATCAAGCCAAAGAGGTTTTATGCCATATCGATTAGTGCTGCTACAATATCATATCATTAACATTGATAACAACAGATCATACCTCGTATTCTCTGCATAATATATTGTTGATTAGAAGTAATTTCAAGATATGGCAATAACAGCAAAAGAGATGGAACATTTTTTCTTATAAGTTCTGAAAAAGCAGTGGCTTTAATAGTTTCATAACCAACATTGCCTATGGATACTAATGTCAATCCTTGAGCTATTAAGTCATCATCAATCCTGTTCATTTCTTCAACAATTCTATTAAGAATAGTAGTTGAAATCCACTGTAACATAACATACAACAATAAATTTTAAACATATTATTATAAATAACATATCATTTAGTAGCTATGTAATTTAGTAGCTATCACATACGGTCTACCAAATATGATAATTGAAATTCCCGTCAAAGTCCGAAGTTTTTACTGAAAATTTGCAGCTAGCTACATTTTTACAAACATGCAATAATAAACTAAAGTAAAATTGCAATTATAATGGGTGATAAATATTCAGGACGCAGTCTTTTTAAATATATTTTTTTTATTTTTTAAAAGACTGCGTCCTGAATATTTATCACCCATGATATGTAGAACAGTCGACTAACTTCCTTTAAAAAGTTTGCAATTATAATGAAATTTAAAAAAGGTGGTAAATTATTATACAATGATTTATTATTTCCAAACAGATAACTCTAACAGTAATGAATTTTTTGAAGGCTCAGTATGGAACAAAAGCACTTAAGAATTTTCCTCTATCTTCACAAATGACTGTATTTACAACAGTATATAATATCAAACAATATTAAAAAATGGATCTTTTGGAAAAATTATGAGTTTTATCGGAAACTTTTATTACGAATCTCATTGAAAAAACTTAACATTAGCAAATGTTGTATTGGTTTGGAAAATAAGTCATTTCGGTTTTTCAGGGTGAAATAAAACTCAATGTATTATTGACATAAACAGAACATTTTGCAGAACTTGGTTATTTGGACTCAGGGAACCTAAAAACATGTATTTCCATTGAAAACACAGATTAAAAATTTTTATGATCGCAATACTTTCTTTACTATATACGATATTAGATATATAGGTAAGTGAAAGTAAAAATTGAGCCCGTGGCTCTAGGAAAAGCCATGGATATTGGAGAATGAAATCTGTAACATAATCCAACAAGAGAAAAGAAATACCTCACTTCATTTCAATTAGCACCATAGCTTTGGTCTAGGAGAACATAAGGTATCGTGAACATCAATGGCTGATTTGTGTGGACTTAAAATGGCAAACTTTCTCTTGTAAGCGCGTAAAAATGCTATTAATAAGGACAGATCACGCTTTACATTTATAGAGGAAAAAACGCCTTGCTTGAGTAAGGAAAAACTTTAAGCAGAAATATTTAATGGTCTAGAAATAAGAAAATTCATTAAGGAGTAAGGAAGCCTTTGTAAATTCCATGAAAAGCCTGGCTTCATTTGTTGCAGTTTCAGAAATTTTCTGGGTCAATGAAAAGCAGAAAACCAAGTTGAAAGGTAAATGATATGCTTAAAAATTTTAAAATTGAGTGCAGCATGAGTATTAAGGTTTAACTATTTACACAGACCATTTTCCTAAAAATTTAAGAGGCAGCAGTGAGGAGCAAGGTGAAAGATTTCATCAATATTCTAAATTATGGAGGAGTGCTTATTATTACTGGAGTTTAGAAAGGGTCTGTTCCAAGATATATTCAAGAAGGTCATAAAAAGAAACTTCCAAGGTGTTGATTGACTAGTTGGTTTCCATTGATGACTTGGTACTATCTTAGTATACATAATAATTTTTGTGTAATTTAGTAATTAAGATTTCATGTTTAATTTTAAGATTTGAATCATGAATTCAACCTAATATAACATGACATTATGCAGTTAGCGGAAAGATGAGAAAAAGTCATATTAAATAATGGTCAATATAATAAAATTAAATTTTATGTCTATAATAAATTGAGTTTTATTTCACCCTGAAAAACCGAAAGGACTTATTTGCCAACCCAATAGAAACATGTCACTGAGAAAACCAATTGTTGGAAAAAAACAAGAAATCTACAACCTGAAATAGTTAACATAATAAAAACAATAACAAATTTACTAACATCAAATAAATACTATTATTAAATAGTAGGACACAAACAGACGACTGCAAACTGTTATTATCAATATCTTTTAAACTTTTAAAATAAATAAGATAACATATTAAAAAACAAAATGATGAACAAAATTATTATTTATTTATTATTGCCACTCATATATTGTTGGTTTTAATTATTCAAAATAGTAAGACAACACTGATAATCAAAATAACTGTCATTCTTACTTTTCTAAGATTAGAAGTCCATTTAACTAAATTTAATGGATTCACTCCAAATGATTTCCATAACTCATTATTTATCTGTAAAATTCTACTATCTCTATTCCTTGAATAAGATGTGTCACCTGCAAAATAAGTAATAATAATAATAATAATCTTTTATTTAAAAACTTCATACAAAATGTTCAAAAATAAAACTATTGTATTAACACAAAATGTAAAATTAGTTTTTAGCAAAGGATTTTTGAGTTCAGACAAGTATATGAATGGTCAACTGAGGAGAAGTTGGTTGGGATTTTCAGTCAATGAAAGTATCAAGTAAAAAAAAAAAAAAAATTATATTTATTTCCTTTGTGCTGGCGTTTCTGCCTAAGTTTCAGGTTTTATCAGGGTTGCTCGCCCAATATAACTCGCACTAAGCGTCCGATACTTTTTGAGTGAGCAGTCCTGATGAAAGCCTGAAATTAAACAAAAAAGGCATAAAGGAAAAAAACATGTATAATTTATTTATTTTTTAATTTCTACTATCATTGACTGAAAACCCCAACCGATTTCTCTTTATAGTATATCTTCTACAGTCAATAATGAACAATGAACAATGAACGAATCAATGAAAAATAAATACACGTAATGTTCCTTTATTTTTTAAAATGACAGAATCCAGTTTTTTTTTTTTTTTTGTTTTTTTTTTTAATGTTAGTTAACATTAAAGAAACATAATCCATAAAATTGACATTTAATAATTAAAGCCAAGTGAGATAACAAAAATTACTTGTAGCATTAATTAAAGCAATTTGGAATATAAGGGGACAGAGCAGTTTAAGATGAAATTATTATAGAAATACTAGAGTACTTAGGTATTGTTTGTCATTAAAAGTGTGAAACTAATGAAGGACTGACTATTACACCCTTCTTAACATAAAATTAATGTAAAGATTTTAATTTTGATGATGATCACTGACTGCACAAGTTTAAATGTGACGACCTAAGGCAGCTAAAATATGTGAAATGATTTATAATTATTTTTTTCTATTGGCATTACAGATCTTGTTGATCATTTGCTACCTTAACCAGTCTTCTCCATCTCTGCCTATCTTGGGCTATTTCTTTCCAGTTGACTGCATGCAGCGCTATTGCATTTGTTTTTGTATTCAGTCTATCTATCATGTGGTCTTTTGCCTACATTGAGGCATTCATCGTTCTGTAGAGACTTCCAGATGGATTGCTCTGAGCTATATTCCCTGTCCATCTTAACCAGTTTCTGTAATGTTCTTTCTCCTCGATGTGTTAGTGCTATGACCTTAGATCATTCCGGACATCTTGTGGAAGATTTTTCTTTCTATGATACTGGTTAGTGTTAGTGTATGCATCCCTCTGTTTTCATGTAATGTTCTTCTTTCTTTTACCTTCTCTAGCATCACTAAGTTGATCAAAATCGGTGAGTGTCCATCTTGACGTAAGCCAGTTCGAACTTTGAAGGCTTGAGATACTCCTCATTGTATTAGGACTCAACATTTAGGTTGATTTATAATTATATAGTTTAATTGAATATTCATCAAATTTACATATTAAGGAAATCAAAATAACTTTTGAATAATTTCAAGGAAATAGTAATTAAAGATTTTTTTATACAGTGTATAACATTTGTTATGTACTGTGTAATAATTGTTTTTGATGTTTCATTGGTTACAGATTAAGAAGCCTTTATCTAATAGACAAAATCACCAACAGACAACAGCTAACCCTTTGTTGGTTCAGATTCGGTTAGTGTGTATTAGAGGTAAGTAGAAGCAACAGATAGGATGGCCATAAGGCATTTATCCAAAGTATCGCCAATAAAATAACAGTCAACAGATTTATTGATCCTGATTAAGTTATGGTTTACTGGAGGCAAATTAAAACCAACAAACTGCTTCAACTAGGGTCCGAGGCTTATAATATATTAAATTTATCACAAAAAATTAATATTTTTCTTATTGTCTGTTGTGATCGAACTTAATGGAGAGTGTGATACATTTGATGTGATTATTTTATTTATTATCTTTAAAATACTTATATTTTCTAGTTATTTCATTGTCCTTATCTATTTTATCAGTCTATATATCTTAAGTATGATACATAATTCATAAAACATTTGTAATTTGTATTGAAATAATTTTTCCATTTGGGGGCCCTTCAATGGTTCTCCAACTTATTAGTTCATGGCATGCTAAAAATTAAAACTTAAAAACAAATTATTAATTTTTATTAAAAATTATCAAACAAAATTCATGGCACCCCTATTATTATTTTATTTTACAATTATAATTCCCTTTTTTTGATAGATGAAATAATAAACCATAAAGAAGTAGATAGAATAAAAATAGAATTTACTTTAAATCCATATTAATGTTGTATGATTTTTTTAAAATTTATTGATTTTAATACTTTAATTTTTAAACTTAAACGTTTAAAATTTTGACAGCACCCTTGGGGCATACCTAGGGCACTTTAAGACACCTTGACAGTGACACTCACTTTGAGACCACTGCACTATGCAAACAGAAATAGACTTCAAAAGGCCATGAATTATTATTTTTCTTATAATTCAATTAGGTAATTTTTTTAAATAATGGAAATTATAGTTATCATTTTGAGCATTTATTGGTAATGTATGATTTAGAAAATGGTCGTTAAAAAATAATCATTTTAAATAATTTACTGAAAATAATGAGAATGATTAACAGTTCCCTAATAATAGTGAAATAATTATGAATGTAAACTGCAGTGGTTGACCAACTTATAGACTAGGACCTACCGACGATTTCATTTAACAGAAGGACTTATAGCTAGTAACCACTATAAATACTTGATAAACCCCATCAGAAAACACAACTTTGGTCAGTCGGTTGAAAGCCATTGCTCTCTATGCTAAAATTTAAATTAAAGAGGCATAAATTGACAGTTCATTTAATGGAAGAAAATATGGCTGAAATTTTGATATGATGTCAAGAATATGTCCTTAAAAGAGAATTCACCTTGACTGATGATGTACTTGGTTGCTTGAATGTCATAGTCATCAAATTAGGACAGACGGATGGTAGTTGGATGACAAAAAAAATTGAAATAGTCGGTTTATTTTCGTTTTTTTAATGTTTTATGGGATGCTGGATCTGAATTTGATGTTCCCGGATGATATTTTCCATTGCATTCCAAGATATATACAAATAAAGGCCAAATTTCTAAACTTTTTTTAGTCTTTTGGACATGAATTCGAAACTATAAATTTTATCAAAATTATTATTATATACAAAGTTAAAGAAGATAAAATTTACTATCAATTTTATTTATAGCTTCTTGAGGTGGGACCAACAGGTGAAGAGTTAGAGAATTTTTACTGTTTGTTTATATATTGGAAAAAAGTTTGGACTACCTTATATGAGAGTGTATTACATTACAAAAAAAATTTAAAAGCAGATCAGTGGACAATAAACCCCGCCCAGGGAGAAAACTCGTGTTGACAGTGTGAGAATCTCGTGAAATTGTGCATATAGCGGCAAAAAATCTCACATTAAGTGCTCAAGAGATTTCGGCTCACATAGCGTCAGCTTAGGGGAAATTCCTTAAACCATGAGGATTCGGCTATATGAAGCTGGCTCTAGAGGTAGAACCGTAAGAAAAAAAATTTTATAAATGGAAAAAACAGAAAAAAAAGACGAGTTTGCCCGAGAACATGTAAATCCTACCCATTTTGAGAAAATGTGTTATTTCAGATGAAAACAAGGATAATATATTTGGATCTGAAGGAAAAAAACATGTTCGGAGGAAAAAAGGAAAGGCATTTGAACACCAAAATCTACAATCAACAGTGAAGCACGGAGGGGGCAGTGTCATGGTTTGGGGCTGTACGAGTGCCAAAGGGATTGGTGAACTAGCCTTTACTGATGGGATTATAAATGCTGATAAATATGTGAATGTGTAATCCAATTAAAAATTTATGGACCCTGCTAGAATTGAAAATCCGAAAATATTCTTGTTCCTCTTGGAATGACTTAATAAACAATCTTAAAAAAAGCTTGGGAAGAAATTGGACCAGAGGAGATCTAAGAGGCTCGTGGAATCGATGCCAAGAAGACTCAATGCTGTGATAACCACGAAAGGGTACCCTACAAAATACTAAAATTGATTGAGACTGATATTTTCTTTGGGTTAGTTAAATATACGAATATTTTTTTTGTGCTTCATGTTTGAATATTTTTCATACAGTATGAGCTATAAAATTTTACTTTTTTGTACAATTAATGCGAAACGAAATTTCTAATTGTTATGTATAGTTACTTCATGTTGAAAACATAAATACAAATATTTTCGATTAAGAAATATGGTGTACAAAATACTTTTTTTGGTCACTGTATCTGTGGGGGTGAGGGGGGGGGGAAATAAACTGCCACCTGGCAAAGCAACCCAAATCCTATTATGGAACCTACACTTTTGAAGAGATGAAATACAGATAAGGCAGATATTAGGGGGCGGGGTGGCCGAATAGGCTAAAGCGTGTGTAACAGCACGCTAGTTGCCTGGCAACCGGATAACAGAGATTTGAGATGAAATAAAAAGTACGAGTTCGTGTCCCGGTGCCGGAGGGGATTTTAAATTTCCCCGCCCTCACCCCCCGGCCCGGGAAAATCCCGTATAGCCTTAAAGGCGAGGTAGGGAAGAAAAAAAAAAAAAAAGATAAGGCAGATATCAACTCTGAAAAAGTATATATTTTTTCCTTTTAGATTACAAGAGATTGAAAACAGGGCAGTGAAGATATTTCTTAAGTTGACCTGACGAAATTCCCAACACAGTTAGGAAAGATAAGCTTGAACTTAAGAATACAATGGGCAAAATTAATTTATATTATAAATTATGTGGTGGAATCAAATAGTCTAAGAAATTATGTTAACTTCAATACCATGTTGATAATCATGATATCCTTTAGTGAAATCAGTAAACCATTAGTGCTACTACAATAACTTAGAAATATGTTTAACTTTTAAAACAGCATGTTTACCTTTTTAGCGATTTGTTCTTACAAATATACATGCCCACTTCAGACCGGAAGCTATCACTTCAATTTGTTTACTGGATGTCAATCATGCAATAAGATATTGTGGAGCCATCTAAATTCTCCAATAAACACATTCTGCTTCAGGCCTAACATTTAAAGTAATACTTAATTTTCAAAAAACCTTCAAGGACCGTTCTTCTCTTAATGTAAGGGGTCAGTCACATTTCAATTCTGTAAATAACAGTAGTAAGTATGACAGTTTCGTAAATTGTTACTTTCAAGTTTTAGGACAGTGGAAACGAACTTTGTAATTTTGCAACAGAGAAATAACAAGCATTTCCTGCTTTTAACCTTGATTTATTTCTTGTTGAGTTACATTTATTTTAGACATTGTAGAGCACATATACTTACTTAAATATTTTTATGTATTCTTCCTAATATCTACATCCCTAAAAGTATCACTCATTTTGCTACTGACCAAACATTTTGATTTATTTGTAATTATTTTCAGAGCAAATTCTTTGCAAGAATACATCAATATTGTTCTGTCTACGTACTTAACAATCGATAAAATGAAATAAGTCAGTTTTGACATATATTAACTTATAAACAATGATACTGTTTTTAAAAATAATTATAAAAGCTTCAAGCATAATCAAGATATTTAATAGAATTTTATGAATTTAAAGATATTAATTATACAATGAAAGACTGACAAAATAGTTAGCAAGTAGGTAATAGTTCTTACTGCTTTACTTTTTTAAAGAAAAATGCATAGTAATCATATGATTCCTTCCAATTTTAGTTGTTCATCAGATAAACTAATATTAATAGAAAGATTATTAAATGTAAAATGCAAATATAATAAGTACAACAGTAATAATAATGGAAAACTAAGTAATGATTAGCAATTACAACTATATGATGAATAAGGGTGGTTCATAAAATAAGATTCCCTTATATCTTAAATGAAAGATTTTAAAATAACCTTTTGTATGCCCTCACACAAAAATTTGCCACCACACTGTTGAGATAGCATCTCTTCTTCCACATTATTGATGCAGAAACATTGTCCATCCAAGTATCAACTCTTTCATCTTGTCTGAAACCAACAATCTTCAGGTTGTTTTTCAATAGTGCTGTAAGACCGACCACCTATAAGCACCTTACACCACATGTTTCCAAGACATTTCAATCTATTTCATTGTTGATGAGTGTCTTTAGGTAGAACTTATTCATATTTAAAACAAATTGTGGCACAAATTTCACATATAGTGGTACCGGCAATTAGAAACTCCTTCACGGAAGGCTGGACTACTAATGTTTGCGACATTGCAGTCTGGCAAGGCGGAATCCAAATCAAGAGAATTACTGGACACAACACAACAATGTTGCCTGAAGTGTAGGCTAAAACCTTCCAGTATCTTCAATGCTTTGAGAACCTTACTTTACAATCCACCCTCATATAAATGACAGATCTATTAAAACCAAGAAATTAGGAACATTTAAAGAATACCTGGCGGACAAAATTGATGCACTAGATTTTTTAAAATAGCAACAGAACTTTTTTTATTACAAGTTTGAGGTGGAGACCAAACTTGAAAATACTTCTCTTCTTCAGAAAGATCACACCAAGCTGAAATAAGAATAATACCATAAAAAATCAATAACACAAATTATAATAATCACATTAACATAATTTATATTATAACTGCGAAAATGAGCAAGCGCTTCCACTTCCAAGCCAGGTGGAGGGCGCTCAGATTGAAGCTGAATTATAAAGGGTATGTACATAAATATATCATCATTTATAGACTAACGTAAGGAAAAAGGTTTGTCTCATTGTATTTATTAAATATTAAGAATATTTAATAAATACAATCAAGAATACCAGCTGAAAGAAGAGAGTGTTACATTCACAATTTAATACAATAATCACCAAACTCAAGGAAACAAAATTATGAAAACATGATTGACAGGCATGTAAGGCAGGTCAATTCTATGAACATCATGAGGATTAAATTTAAACAAAAAATTAACAACTTTTCCTAAATCAATTAAACTTTAAGTTAATAAAAATGATTTTAGAAAATAAATATGAAGAAAAACCTGAAGTTTCTAAGTCTTCATCTGGAGTTTCCAGTTTTTCGTGAGGTTCCAGACCTAATGTAAAACAAAAGTGAAAATAATATTTAATACATAGTAAATTTACAATAATTAAGCATGAATTTACATCTGTTAAGGCAATGTAAACTGAAGGAAAATTCTGAACTTATCATTAGATTATTTAGGCTTTTTTTTTATAGTATTAAATGTAAAAAAAATAAAGGCCACCAAACAAGATATGGAACAGAGAATATATATAAAATTTTTTTTCCCCTTTTTTTTTCTTTCAAACCTGAAGTTATTTTCAATTCCAAACCCAAACAGGAAATTCAGAATATAATCATAGCAATGATCATACTAAGAGATCTTAGGAATTAAATAAAACAAAAATATAGCAAACCAAGTTTATTTTTTATTAAACATTGAATCAAATCATTGTACCATAGCTGCAGTTATGAACAAAACATAATGGTAACAATGTCTTTTTTTCTTTAAAAGAGCAAAGAAAAATATGAATTCTAAAGATATTTCAAATTTTAAAATATTTTTAATTATAATTTACAATTATGTTGAAATTAATTTACCTTGTATCAATTCCTCGATCACTCGGCACTTGCTACATATACACAAACAGTGACAATCATCGGGAAGCAGATTGGTGCGTGGCTTTACTAAAAAAAAAAATGAAAAACTAAACAATATTTTAAAGTAAAAATACAAGCATATTAACCATCTTTCAGTTTTTTAACTTACAAGGATACTTATCAGCGTACACACAATATCTGCATTTACAGTCACAGAGATGAAGTGGGTAAGAGATTGCATCAAATTTTCTGAATTCCGCTAGAAAAAAAAAGTCTAATCTTAACAGTATAATATTCTAAAAAAAAAAAAAAAAAAATGTTTAGGAAAGGGACACTTTCCTACTCTCACTAGAAAAGGGATACAAAACTGCTTACTCCACTGTTGAGGAAGTAATAAACTTTTTCTGACAAGTTCTACATCATTATAGACTAATGGTTATAGTAAACCCATATGTTTTTAGCCATTAATATCTCCCAAAAATAGAATTAATTGCATCCATTAAAATTTTGAATGGCATATCAAATGTTATCCAGTAAAACACAATTGGTAAAGCAGATTTCATAAGCTGATTGTTATTTCAAACAACTAAAAAATTAAGAATTCATTTTGTCACTTATTTGTTACTAAAGTATCATCAGCAATTAATTCATATCTCTTTATTATATAAAAAGTTTTTGTGACCAATATTTTATTTTGCATATATAAATCGGGACGGACCTTAAGAAGATACCACACTTCTTATTCCCAGAATTAATTCTTATTATGGTTACAAATTGGCAATAAGAATAAATATATTGGGTTGTTCAGAAAATAATGCAGGATTTTGAGTTTTCTTTAAAATACCCCTCTATATAAAAAACTGTTTACGTTTAATGGATTATTCACTTGCATGAATGTCAACACTTATTAATCCTCTTCCAAATGATAATATCTGTTTACCTCTGTAGTGTTTCACTGCTTAGAAACAATTTAGTCTTTATTAAGATGTCAATGCTTGATTTCGACTCGTATGATGATTGACTCGTATAATTAAGTTTTACGAGTTTAAATTAGGCTGGAATGGAGCCCAGATGGGGAGAAACGTTAATCAAGTCTGGGGCGAGAGCAGCATTAATGAGTGCACTGTTCAACGATGGTTTGAAAAATTTTGGGGGGAGGGGAGAATTCAGCCATGAAGACAAAGAAGGTTGTGGAAGGACTTCCTCTCTTGATGACGATGTTCTGCGGGCTTTGGTGGAAGGAAACCCCAAAACAATTGTTCCAGAATTTGCAGAACTTGCAGGAAAACTTAACCTTAGCAAGATTAAGATTAAGATCACCCTAGAAAAAAAAAACTTACTAAACAGAAAGACCAAGGAATACTGGGTACACTCAGGGTCATTGGCAAACATACTGGTAGTGAGCTTGAAACCCTGAGAGAACTGGCAATAGCACACTTTCCTGGATGCTAGACTATGGAAAAGGCTTGTACAGACGCTACACTTCCTAGCTATACAGCTAACCGAGAAGTGTGGATTAAGGCAAGAACCTTTGTTACGGTAAATAGACTGGAATGGGCAGTTAACACATTGTCTCCCTACAAATTGGCAGGTTTGGATGATATCCTACCAATACTGATTCAAAAAGGACTTTTGATAATTAAACCCTATCTCTTAGAGTTAATTAGGGACAGTATAGCTTTTGGTTACCTTCCTACAGAACTGAGTGGATCCAAACTGTGTTTTATTCCAAAACCTGGAAGGGGATCATATGACGATCCTATGTCATTTAGGCCAATATGCATGTCATCTTTTTTAATGAAGACACTGGAAAAGATTCTGGATAGGCATACAAGAGAACGATTAGTGAATACCTTATACTTTAATCAATTCATGTGAGCTTAGTTGGAGCGACAGGTATGCTGGACTAAGATTCCAACTATTAGGCATTGATAGGGTGATTGATCCCAAGGAAAACAAGCTCATCAACAAGCTTACTACAGTTTACTGAGACTGCAGGAATTATGCTCTAAAAAGCGTACAATAGGCCTTCATGGCCACGGTGCATCCATGCCACTAAAAAAAAAAACCTATGACCACTCCAAGGAGATTAGAAACATAAAAAAGCTTGAAAGTTTGGTTCCACACACGTTAAACAATGTTAAAAAAACCAGCGTTATGAAGTTTAAACCTCTTTGCTGAAACAAAAATGACCCTTTTCTGTTCAAAATTGTTACTTGCGATGAAAAGTTGATACTTTGCGATAACAGTAGACGTTCCGGACAGCGGCTTGACAAAGGAGAAACAGCAGAACATTTTTCACAGCCCTCAACTCATCAAAAAAAAAGGGGATGGTTACAGCTTGGTAGGCTTTATTTAGTTTGATACACTAAAGTTTCTTAAATCCTGGAGAAACCATCAATGGTGAATCGTATTGTAACCAAATTAATGAAATGCATCAGAAATTGGCAATAATGCAGCCATCTTTGGTCAATCGAAGGGGCCCATTTTGTTGCATGACAACGCCCGGCCACATGTCTCTCATGTGACATCACAAAAACTGTTGGAGCTTGGATATGAAACTTCGCCACATCCGCCCTACTCTCCGGGCCCCTTGCCTACAGATTATCATTTTTGTAGACACCTGGACCACTACTTACGTGACAAAAATTTAATGGACAAAGAGAATTAGGAAATGTGTTTGTAGAATTTATCAATTCTGAAGATGGGAAATTCGATTCCGAGGAAACGGAAATGTTGCCAACACGTTGGCAGAAATGTATTGATAGTAGTGGAGACTATTTTGATTAAATAAAACAATTGTAAATCTTCCTTTTTTTCTTTTTAAATCAAATTCCTGCATTATTTTCCAGAAAACCCAATAATTATATAATAAATAAACTGGTAATAAGGCATGATATACAACACAGATTTTTAAAGAAATAAAAAATTTGTTCAAACTGTGTGTAAGGAGGTGTCAAGATAAAATAAACACTTTGACTCAGTACAATACAAGAACTAAGAATTTATTATAAAACAAATTTAACACACTAATAAAAGAATATAAATTAACCATTTACAAAAACAAACATTTAAATCACACACTATACACAATATAGAAGGACAGGGGTCCCCCCCTAGTGACTTTAAATCACACCTTTAAAGGGGATGAAACTGTCTGAAGAAAAAAGTTAATATTGAGCAATAAAATTTATTTAACAGTATATAAAACCATTAAAGCATCTACAAATTAAAATATTTAATTTTCAGAGTTTACTAGTAATAGGCGTGTTGCCTTCTTTCATACTTCCCAAACTTACAAAAAAAAAAACTTTTTTTGTTGATTGAAGTACTTAAAAGTATCATACTAAATTGTTGTACAAATCGATATATAAGTACTTCCAAAATTCAATAAAACCACACTATGTAATACCAAATCACAATGTATGTTACATTATCTTTGTAAATAAAAATAACTATCTAGTTACCTTCAGTAGCCAAGCAAGATTCCCCACACTCCATGCACTCTTTTGGAGCATATTGAATGGGATACCAAAACCAGGACTTAAAATATTCAACTGTAAACAAAAAGTATTTTAAACTATAAAAAAAATTGACCATTCAATACACTTACCCTATTCAACTCTAATATCACATATTTATTATCAAAATTCTTGATTTATTTATTCTTAAATACTATTTTCATATTAGACGTTGATGACCTCGAGGTTTTACGCCTCTAAGCCCTAAGGAACAACAACAACTACCCATTTAATTAATAAATTATTAATAAGGACAATGGATATTGATTTTTTTCTTTTAAATGTTTGATGATGTTAACGCCACAGCATTAATTTATTTTATTTAAACAATAATTTGATTAATTATTTATTTATTTATCTGTCAATAATTATATATATTCATAGGTCCATAGCTTATATTGTTTATATTCGATAGACTGGTTAATAGTTTATACTTAAATTATTATGGATTGCCCTAGCTATAAACAAGTCCTAGGTTCAAGTCCTAAGCCCATGGACTTCGCAATACACAGTCTGACTCCGCCCGTCACTGAGCTCAGTGCTGCTAACTATTACACTGCCCACTGCAGTCGATCCATATTTTTTGGGCTATTAATATTTGTTTTAGTCTCTATTATTGATTTTAGTATTGGGCCAGTCATATCATTATTTTCATTTATAGAAGTTATTATTTTATTTTATTTATTGTAATTGTAAAATTGGTTTCATTTTTAAAAAAATTTATTATTACATGTAAATATTAAAAAAATAAATGTTTAATCGTTACAGTTCACTTTTTATTACAATTTGTTTAATCAAATCATAGTTACGCTTCATTCAAAGGTTAATTTAAACCAAGAGGGAGCTTAACAGATGAGATACATCTATAGTAACTAGGTAAAAATATAATTATAGAAATGAATGAAAAGATGAAAGGTAATCTATAAGGAAATTGTAAAAAAAAAAAAGAAAAGTTAAATGTGAATTGGAAGTTATTAAGTTACAGTTCAGCACAACATAGACTGCAATAGAATCTTGCATGAAAAGCAAATCCATATTATGAAAGAAGTATAAACAATAAATAAGGAAAAAGTGAAATCAATGTATGTAAATTTTAAAGCAGTGATTAAAATAAAAAAATGGTTATAAAATTGTATTAAAATACAACTATGTTTCAAATGAGGAAAATTCCAAAGTGGATGTTGCACCAAATATTTTAAGCTCACGGAAACATTGACCAATTATAAGTGCAAATAATTCAAAGGACATTTTCTCTTTTAAAACATATGCTTGATCATAATAGGTATAAATTGACAGAAAGAGATTTTGAAATGCACATATTTACTCAACTTAAATGAAAAATAATAATTTATATTAACGTATAAATTATTAGTTTTAGAGTGTTTTATTTTTTTTTTTATATGTCATCTTAGTAAAAAGTATTAAGTTCAAAAAGTTTTTTTCTTTCTGAATTATGTCTTCTTGCATATATCAAGATTGTTACAGCATGAATATTCGCTCTCTAATAATGAGCATATTTACTTGGGTAGACTCTAAATGGACACAGACGGCACTTCCAGTCAAGAACTTGGCATCCACATGGCTTGATAAATAGTCTGGAAGAAGTAACTAGAACACCAACTTCATACTTGTAAGCTAAAAAAAACAAAAACAATAATAATAGAAACAAAAAATAGCTATAAATAAAGAATGAATTCTTGAATCATCCATTGAAAATATAGCTCTGTAAGATAAAAACAAGATAAAAAAACAAACAAACAAATAGTACATTTGTTAATATTTAACATTATTTCACAGATGTGCATAAGCATCAAATAAATATCAATTAACTCACACACAGACATCAAGTCCTGAGGTTCTTCAAATGAAAGGTACATGCTGTCTGATCCTAGAAATAAAACAACCAATAACATAAGTTAAAATTTTAGTTTCTGAAAAAGTTTTCTGAAATAAATAAATCATAACTAATATTACTGATGATATAATTAGACAAAAAAAATAATACAAATTTTAAATATATACTAATAGCTACAAAAAAAAAAAAAAAAAATGGTATAATATACAATAGAACAGCTAAAACATTCAAATATATTAAAGTGTATTTTTGAACAAAAACACATAATGTAAATAATGTGACCAGCAAAAAATGCCACATAAACTTAACAATTACCAGAAGTATTTCTAAATTTGTTTGTTACTTTTATTGTTTAAAATATTTTTATAATGAGAAAATAATCTATCTACTTTGACAAACATTCATAATTTGGCATATAAGTGTTGATCCAAGATTTAAATTTTGGAGAAAAATATGTGTTTTATTTTGGAATTAAAAATAATAATAATGCTTATAAAGAAAGTAAGAAATGAAATAAAATTGTGGTTTTAGGAAATGAAAATCCGGGAAATTGAAAAAATCCATATTCTATGAAGTCAGTTACTAATGATCCACCTTTTAACATATTTTAATAAGTACTGGGTACTTGGTAATAAGGTCCTTCAAACACCAGGTAGGATTTGATCCAGAAGAAATGCGTCAAAGCCAACTCAAGTAGAGCCCCAATAATTTACTTTTTTCATGGTTGGGCAGAGTTGCCGAGCGGGCTAATGCATGTGCATAATATGTGTTGCCTGGCAACCTGATAAAATGAAGTGTTCCAGTCCTGGTGCCAGGGGCATTTAACTCTGGCATTAATTCCCTGCCCTCTCCCCTGGCCTAGTGAAACTCTGTATAGCTGAAAAGACGAGGTAAGGGAGAAAATACAATAGAAATATTGCAAGCATTGCAATAAATTATTTCTTAAATAAAAGTATTAACTAAATGTTAAATTATAAAAAAAACAAAAATAATTTAATGTTTCGAATTATTAGGTACTGGCAGAACACTATCAATAATTAAAGGTAGAGTTGAACCTGATTGATTAAAATAATTTAAGTAAAAAATGAACCTAACTTACAATTGTAATCTAGAGTTTCATTGTTGAACTGAATTATATTCATGTTATTAATTATGGTAATTAACATAATTAAAATATGGAATTATAAGAATTTATCATTAATATATTAGATTAGCAGTTAAAAATGCATGGAAACAAACTATGTAATAGCATAAAAATCTGGAATCTATTCATGAATTTCTGACGATTAATAAAAGATTCGACCAGATAGATTAACTTTATATGAGTGCTATAATATTCACCAGTAGTCTTATACAAGTGTCAATGGTCTCATCTACAGGAAAAACCTTTTTGAAATAAATAAAAATAATAATAACTAAACCTGTAAAAAAAAAATAAAAATATTTACCACCAACAGTTGAGAAACTAGTGTCAAAATATTTTTCTGAAGAGTTTGGAGTAGAAATCCTACCTTCTTGTTCTTTCAACTTTGAACGATCTACTATATTGGCCCATGATGATTTCTGTTTTGTATCCCCTAAACATCATAATTCATTAATAAGAACAAAAACATCCATTTAAAAATTAAAAATTAAATAATTATACTATATGAAAAATATACCAAATATTATATTTAAAACAATAATCCTTATTGTATTATTAATACAATAAGTATTAAGTGAATTCACAAAATACCACATATAGCCATGAATCTTCTAACATAAAATATCCATTATCAAGAGGTAAACTTCCCCAAATAGTTCCCCCGATTTGGGTCTATGGGTGAAGACTACTTTAAAGGATTCATGACCCAACTTGAAAATTAGGACTTTAGGTATAGAGATGAGGAACATAAGAAGTTTGAATACAGCAGGTGGGTTGAAATTGGTCACAAATGAGGTTAAGGGGTACAATGAATTTGATACAAAGGGAGTGGAAATTATAGTTCGAGTACCAGTTTTCTAATTATGAATACAATATGATTGCTATCGACTTTAAGGGCCATACAATTTCTTAGTGATTGGATTTCGGTGGCCATATTTTAGTGGCATTGGTTTAAAACTGCATTGATAAACAGACATTGTCTGACCGATGACAGTAATGATCAATTAAAAAGTAAATTTTATGATTAAGTGGAGTGCCAATACCACGGACCATCATGGAAATAATTTTAGGAGTCACAAATACAAAGGTAGGAAGGGATGAAGTTTATTAACAGACGATTGGTGAAGAAAGTTTGCATGGCTATGGGAACATATGATTGGGAAAAAAAAAGACAGTTTGGCAGATAGATGGCGGAACCTCGTGAGTGAAGAGGCACGCCAAGGAATTGTATATGAAATAGTTTAGTTTTACGGTTTATGCTGGATTTTTTTTCCTATCTATTTTACAAACGTATGTAATTGGTGTATTGTATAGTCGTAGTTTAATGTTTAGTTCTATAATCATTTCCTATTCCTTTCTTTGATAATTAAAGTTTATTGTATTTTATTTGTTTGTTATAAATATAATTTATTGTTCATAATTTTAATTTCCTTTAGCTGTTATTTAAGTCAATAGAAACAAGTAAATTGATCATCAGAAATTAATGATAGACAGTTTTATTTTCACCTTTTTTTTCTGTGATTGTTTTCAGGTTTTATGTATATATTATATTGTTTCCTTAAAGATTTAATAAAGAATTGTAAAACCCTATTCGCGAGATTAGGGAAAATCAATATTAACCAAGTAAGAAGGTTCGATAGGTTATAGGATTAATTAACATATTTTTTTAAACCCATAGGGTCCAAGTTCGTAGCTCGCTCCGCGTCCAAATCTTTTTTTTATTTTATTAAATATATTTATTTATTTTTTTTTGGTTTCCCTATTTTCCCAAAATCAACAAATTAAATAGCGTGGCACCTGTTAGACTCTGTATGAATCTACGCTTAGCAGCACACAGAAGATAGTGAGAGAAAAAGAAGAAGACACCTGTTAGATAATTACTAATATTTAATTGACTTCATTATTTTTTGTTGCAGGCAAGTATGTTGCGGAAATAATTTTTCTAAATTAAAGATCATGATAAAACGGCGTCCCTGAACAAGGACTGTAGTAAATAAAGTGTATATAAAAGGAAAATTTATTTTTTTTTAAATTTATGACATTTTTTAAATATTAATTTTTTCAAGAAAAATCTAAATCAGACCAAAATGAATGTTAATAGGTTAGTCAAAGAAGAGTTAGAGTATGAATTAAAGAGTCGTGGAATTATCAGAATAAATAAAGTGGAGGAAATGAGGAAAAAATTAACTATTTTGAAATTAGAGACTATGGAAAAATATGTCCCTCCAGCCTTAGAACTTCCCGCCGCTTCTGAATTACTGGTCTATGAGGAAAAACTTACAGTAATCGAGAAAAAAATATTTTTGATATCACCCACTAGTTCCACTTGCGAAATTGATAAGATAGACACCGGATTGCAACATCTAATTAATAGACAACCGAATAACGACAATGGATGCTTCTGAAATAAGAAAAAAATTGGAGGCTGTTTCAAAGTGTCTATATCTCTTTGAAGAATTTGAAAAGAAATCAGAAGACCAGAATAAGAATGTTGAAGTATAGAATCTCGATGGTATGCAACAAAATTTAGCAAAAGTGATAAATGATGAAGCAGCCGAAAATATTCAAAGACTTACAAAAGCCGTTTATGAGGATGTAGGCATAGGTGGGGCTACGTACGTGATATGATAAACTCAGATTCCCATAAGAGATTGGGGAATTATCTTCACGGGAGATGGAGAGGGTTTTAGTGTCCACGCTTTTCTTCAAATGGTTGACGATTTAAGTCTATTTAGACCGACTTGCACTACACACAGTAAGCACTTTGAAAAACTTTATAAGTCTTGGGAGACAGTTAAAAGAGATAAGATGGAGGGTAAGTGTGTATCGACCTCCCCCTCCAAGTAAAGGATTACCTGAACCCGATTTGGCCTATCAGCCGCCTCAAAGAAAACAAACCAGCCACTTCAACGCAGTAGAAACAACAAAGGAATGTAGGGAAGAGGAAACCCAATTATTCTTTTCAATGTTGCAACTGCGGTGGAATTAGACATTTTTTAAAAATATATCTGCAGAAAAAAATAAAATTTTGTGAGGGTTGTGGTTGGAAAGGTATTGAGAGAAAAATGGGTGAATGTTATAAAAATAACAAGAAGGGAATAGATTGAGGGGGCCAGATTTAAGTGGATGGGATCCTGGACGTACCCCTAAGTCCACAACCACAGCTGAATGGGAGGAATGGTTGTCGATAGTAAAGGAGGTTTTTGAGGGAAAAAAGTGGAAAATTCTGAAACTCTAATTGGCGAAAAATACTGGAAGAAATTTGCATGACTTGGAGTAATTTTACAGAATAATCCAGACATTCGAATAAATGCCACTGGAGGCACCGCGCTCAATGTGCTTGGAAGCATGAATGTCCCAGTTACATAAGAGGGTAGAATGAGAATAATTGAATTTCTAATAGTGTCTAGTCTGGGTGATGAGATCATATTTAGAATAGATTTTTGGGATAAATTTAGGTTAGTTCCAGATTTGTCTCAGTACTCCTGGACTTTTGCTGACAAGGAGTGTTAATCGGTATCACAGAACAATCTAACTGTTTTGATGAGGCCAAATCTTACTCCAGAGAAGGAGGGGATTGTAAATCCTTGTCGAAAATTGGTGAAATATTCGACCATCTAAGTTGGTATGCACTAGTAGGGTCCAACATGAAATTAATACGGGAGATAGTAAGCCTGTTAAACAGTGTTACTATCCTGTATCACCGAAAATTCAAGCCATCTTGGATAAAGAGCTTCAGGAAGGCATTGTAGAACCATCACAGAGTGAGTGGTAATTTCCTGTTGTTTTAGTCAAGAAACCTGATGGATTCTATTGTTTCTGTGTAGATTACCACTAGTTAAATGCTGTGGCTAAAAGGAATGCCTTCCCGCTCCCCTACATTTCAAATATCCTTAATAGGTTACGAGTGCCAAAATATTGTCTTCCATTGTTAAATTCCATAAAAAGCGCTTACTGGCAGATACCAATGGCTATGGCAAGCAAAGAAAAGACCGCATTTACTGTCTCCAACCGTGGCCTCTTTCAGTTTTATAGAATGTCTTTTGGTCTTCATAATGCGCCAGCCACATGGCAAAGGCTTATTGATGAAGCCTTGAGGGCTGACTTAGAGCCAACGTTTTTGACTATTTGGATGATATGATTGTAGTGTCATCAGATTTCGATTCCCACATAAAAACATTAGAAAAAGTCTTGGAGTGATTGAGCGCTGCCAACTTATCAGTGAATTGGGAGAAAAACTAATTCTGCAGGGAAGAATTAAAATTTCTGGGATATGTGGTGAATGAGAACGGTCTGCAAGTAAATCTAAAATACTATGTTTAAACATAAGGGTATTCGTGAATATACTTGGACAAGACTGGATTTACAAACAGAAAAACAAATCGATCATGTCTTTTAACAACAAAGGAGGCAAAGTAATATAATTAATAAAAAATTTTATATCACAGGGTAATTCATAAACCAGTAATTGTGAAACTTCAATAAAAACTTGATATAAAAAAGAGAAAAGGAAATATGAAACTGACCAGTTTCTGTTTAGAAAATGTTAATTTGGAGAAATTAAAAAATACCTCAATTAGAAATAGATTCGAGCTTGAAGTTAAGAATAGGTTTTTTATTTTGTTTTAATGAAATTTACAACTGTATTACATGTATAGTACAACAAGTAAATGTAACATTGGTAACATGACATGTATTAAAAAAAGTTTTGTTAACTCGTGTCTTGGGAAAATGGAAAAAAAAAACAGGTTTGATGAAGATTGTCTAAATATACGTGAAATTAAAAAAAAAAATGCTAAATTAAAACTTCTAAATAATTCTAGAGAAAAAAATCTTGGCCCCACTTCCAAACCTTAAAGAATAAACAACAAAATAGCTAACATAAAAAAAAGAGAGTTAAAAAAAAATAAATAGAAAATAATGTAAGAGTATTTACAAAGGTATAAGCAAATTATGTAAATTTTTGGGACATTTAACAACTGGAATTAGGGATGAAAATAACAATATGCTGATCAATCCAGCCCAGTCCAAAAATGCTTTGAGAAGAAGAACAGTATTTTTAGTTTTACAGTAGAACAATTCATCAATCCATTCCAATCTGGCTTCCGACCCTGCTATTCAACACAATCTACCCTCCTTAAAATAACCCATGACCACCAAAACTCCATTGAACACCAAAACCTTACTATTCTCATCCTTCTAGATTTTTCCAAAGCGTTTGATACAGTTGACCATAAAATTCTTCTTACCTAATTGCAAAATCTTCCTCTATCCAATAGTGTCCTACGTTGGTTCAAATCCTTCCTTTCCGATCGATCCCAGTATGTAGTCGTCCCAGATCAACCTCCTTCAAAGACACTTCCCCTCTCCTGTGGTGTCCAATATACCTTTTCCAATATACCTTTCCTTCCCCCCTTCCGACCTATTAGCCGCCACAAAAAAGCTTCAAGAAGATTTAAATAGAATATATGACTGAGCAGGAGTTAACAAGTTGAAGTTGAATGCGGAAAAGACCAAGGCAATCCTAATAGGCTCCAATCACCTCCTCAAAACTGTTCCTAACTTTCTAACCCTCTTTCTACATGATAATCCCATTAAATTTTATCCCACCACCTTGGAATAATCTTTGATCAAACCCTTTCCTGGAAAAACCATGTGTCCAATATCTCCCGACGTACCTTTTCCACCCTAAAACACTTAAATAGCCTGCGACACCTTTTTCCTTTTGAAATCCGTAGACAACTGGTCACCTCTTTAATATTTCCCCATTTCGACTATAGCTGCACAGTATATGGAGGCGTCTCTGGGGATCTCGAGGCGAAACTAAAACGTTTGATAAATTGCTTTGTACGATTCATCTTCGGGATCCCAAGAGACGCCCCTGTTTCCTGTTTCTATGAAGAGTTGAAGTGGCTTTATCCTTCCAACTGCCGTAAGTATTTCCTGGCATTCTTCCTCTTCCAAGTAATTCACTCCCGCCGTCCTTCATACATCACCGAGCTCCTTCAATTTACATCCTCTGTCCACTCCCGCAATACCTGTTCCTGGTCTTCAGATCTATATATAATGGCTCACCGAACCGCTGCTTTCGATAAATCTTTTACTATCTGATCCTCTTCCCTATGGAACTCCATCCCTCCCCACATCCGTCAATCCAAAACCCTTCCTACCTTTAAATTCCAACTGTTCAATAATTTCTTATCCATCCAGTCCTCATAAAATTGTAAATAGTTACTACTGTAAATATGTATATAAATTATTAGATCGTTCTTTATTATTTTTACTTCATGTTTATTTTCAATTTTTTATTTTTTATTATTAACTGATGTAAATTAGAAAGTGACTTATAATTTCTCTAAATATTTTTTTATTTATTTTTTGACTATTTAATCAAACTATATTCTTGTTTATGTATCTCTGAGGCTCCTTAGCCCACATTTTTGTCTGTCTGTATTATTCTAAAGGGACTCATCCCAGAATAAATAAAGCATTATTATTATTATTATTATAAAAACAAGAAGGATAGTAAAGAGTTAGCTAAATTTTACTGAATTATAAAAACACTGTCCTGCAGTGGTTTTAGTTGATACTCTCTAACTTAAAGAAAAAAAATATTTGAAAGAGAAAACAAATAAAACGATAATAAATAAATTGTAAAAAAAATAAATAATAATAATAAAAAAATATTTACCATTAATAGTTAAGAGACTTGATTCAAAATTATTTTCTGGAGTGGAAATCTTAGCTTCTTGTTCTTTCAACTTTGAACGGTCTACTATATTGACCCATGACCATTTTCGTTTCCTGCCCCCTAAATATCATAAATAATGAGTTAAGGGAGTTCTTGAGAATCACAGAACCACATAAATTCATATAAAAATTAAAAAGTGAAGAATTAAACTGGGACAAAATTAAATTTAATATTTAATGATAAATTATTGAATACAACAGATAGTTGTCAATGTTTATATTTATAATATAAATAATAAGTAAGCAATTTTATGAGATAGATACTTTTACATATTTCCTGTTATTAATCACTTGAAATTTGATCTATTTGTAGGTTTATTTTAACACAATACAAAGAATGATACGAAAAAATAAAAGCAACATATTTCAAATGCATTGTCAATAATAATAAATATAACGTTACCTATGTTTGTTTCATTATTTTCAGCAGAAGTATTAAAATACAAATCCCAGGGCTTCTTTCGATAATGGAAAATGATACACAGGTGATAAATTATGTTAGCCAAGAAAAAGAAACAGATAACGATGCTTGTATAATGACTCCCCAAACGTGTAACTGACCTAAAATTATTATATTTTAATAATAAAAGAAAAAAGCTTCATATGTGAACATTTTTAATCTACTTTGTTTATTTGATACAATGTGCTTGGGTCTTGTCATTAGGGCAAGAAGGACAGGTTATTCTGAAGGTTTCTAATCTATTCTAGCCACAATATGAAAGTTGATATTTATTAAGTGGATGCACCAAAAAATAAAAGTTAATGCCCTGAGAAAGATTCAAACTAGTACCACTTTTAGATTGAGAATGCTGACCCACTATGCTCAACTATTATGATTTTTTGATGATATATCACTAAAAGATAATGCACAATTTATAATTACTAAATGAAATCGTTTCGTGAGAATGCGTACAAAGACCAACATGGAAGATTACAAATTATTGCATAGTTCGATTGAAGTAACTGAAATATATCAGGAGGGCTGATGAACATGATGAATAAACAAGTTGGCAAAGAACTAGTTCAATAATGTATCCAATATAGCAAAAAGTAGATATTTTGAGGGATCCGGCAAAATAGTGATAGAAAGTAATAAATACAGTTTTTAGTTAAATTGAAAAAGAGTTAGCGAATATGAATAACGATAAGGAGGGAATAATAGAATTGTATGAGGATGAAATAAACATACAGCCAATTGGAGGTATGTGTGAAATTATTAGACTATGAATCAGTATAAGTATATGAGTCATAAGTATATGACAATGAAATTCAGTATAAATAACCAAACTATTTCATGAAAATTATGTTCTAGGGTTTAAATTAATTACTCTTGGGGCTGAAAAACTGAGAAGCCTGGCTCGATGAGAAAACATTAAAGAGATTTGTATGTCTTACCGCTAACCTTGAGAACAGATTAGGAATGCTCTTGATAACTTTTTAAGCCTTTTAGGTATGTAGCTCACTGGTTGAGTATAAATAGGAATGTACAAATACCTAGTTCTGCCATAAATACTGTTACAAAAGTTGAACTTTCTTTACATCCTTGGGTATTGTTTAGATAATCCTTACCTCTACTAGGTTATTTTCTTTACATGTCAGGATAATAATCCTAATTAGTTTGTATTTTTCTTTTGCGCAGTTAACATGGAGTGGGGTGATAAAGAAAACTAAATAGCTGTGATTGCCTTACACAAAGTTGGAAAATGTAGGTCAGAGATTTTCAAGACTTTGAAACCTTTGGGTATCAGCCGTATGTTCATGTATCGCACTGTGAGAATGGCAAGTGCAGTGAGAGCAGTGGCTGCTCTTATCAGAATAAATCCCATTGGAAAACAATAAATCATGTCTCAGAAAATGGAAATTTCTGTCAGATCAATGTCTCGTATCATAAAAAGTGACCTTAGGATGGGTGCATTTCGAAGAATGACAGGACAAAGGCAAAACACTTCCCTTGAAAGAAATTAGAATAGACAGATGCTAAGTGCTCCTTGGCTGTTACAGCAATAGTCTTCATCGAAAGATTTTGTTTAGCGATGAGAACATTTTTACAATCGAAGAAAAATTTAATCGCCAAAATGATCGTGTATACGCACACAGCTGTAAATAACCCCAGAAAGTCATTGGAAGAGTGGAGAGAGGTCATCACCCTTCTTCAGGGATGGTTTGGTGGGGAGTTTGCAACGATGGCACCACAAAGCTCCATTTTTGTGAAAAAAAGGGGTTAAAACAGCCGCTAAAAACTATCAGGACGATATTTTGGAACCTGTTGTCAAGTCTCTAAATGATAATCTGTTTGCTGGAATTCATCGGGTATTCCAGCAGGATTCTGCTCCAACTCACAAGGCCAAGTCAATTCAGCTAGTGGCTGAAAGAACATTCCTAAGTTCATCTCTGCCTCAGATTGACACTCAGGAAGCCCTGATCTCAACCCAGTAGATTATCGACTTTGATCCGAACTGGAGAGGATAGCATGCCACAAAGCACACCCTAACTTGGAAAGTCTCAAACAATCTATGGTCTGAGCAATTGAGCGTTTTCCTCAATGTGGACATTTTGAGTAATTTCTTTTTTATTTTACTCTCTATAGATATACATTATATTTTCTAATAAAGTTTTTGAAAAAATTAATTCTTCTGTTGAAATCTGTATATATTTACTTGTAACAATATTTATGAGATGACTAGGTATATAATCAAAGCTGCAATTATGTTTTTAGAACAATATAAAAAATGTTTATGATAATATAATATAAAAGAGGATATATTTTTTTATTTAATATAATTATAAAAATGAACTCACATGATATATGGGGTCAGTAGCATACATGCCATATTGACTGTAGCCCAGAACAAAGAATACTGCTTCTTATAAATGATTGTGTAATATTCTTCCATTGATTTTCGACTATTACACATGATGGAAAATTACGAAAATAACTGAAAACATTATATTGTATTAATAAAACCTGATATAGACACATATATAATAAATCATGAATAATTATAACTGTATTCATGAAATAGCAGCTTTTTGAAGAAAACTAAAATAATTTAAATATTTGCAAGGACTTTGATAAGAGAAGCAGAGCAAGTCAGTCAACTAGTAAATAAAGATAATTCAAAATATAAGGGGGTAAGGTGAAAAATCCACCTCAACCACAGGATCTGCATAGATGGAAAGTCATTTCTGATATACATTGATAGATAAAAATACCTAGACTCCACCCACAATAACTCCAATAAACAATGAAATATCAAAAATAGACCATACAACAAATGCAAATATCTTTTTTTCCTTTCTTTTAATGGTATTAATAATCCTGAAAAATGTCAAATTAATGGTGCATAATGCAGTGATGAAGCCAATCCTGAAGTATAGTTGCAAGACCTGAATCCTAACCTATACCATGGGTAAAAAAATGAAAGATTTGAGAGAAAAGTCCTTTGCATAATAACTGGAGTCATCTGGGATCTGAGTACTAATGCCTGGAGAAAAAAAGTGCAATAACGAATAGTTTACAGAAATTGGTAAGTCTGTATCTCATGTTATAAAGCCAAGGAGGTTAAGATGGGTGGGGCATATAACTCATACATCAGGAAGCATCAGCACAATGAATGAGGCTACGTGGGAGGCCAAAATAAAAAGATGGATTCATAAAATTAACAAAGATGCAGCAGAGCTTAATGAAGAAACTGGGAAGCAGTAGTCCAAAACAGAGAGGTGTTAGAAAGTTGGTCCAGTTGATCAATCGATCTACAAGGTCTGTTAAGTAACCTTAAAAATCTCTGACCTGATTGGATAACGGGTATCCTAGGTTAAATAATTTAAACTAACTAGTCAAAAAAACAGATGCTCTCGGCTAGTTTACTTATCCTAAGAACAGTGGTATTATGTGAATTTGGTGCATCTGACAACCCAGACGTGAGATTGCTCTCTATTTACCTAGAATAGAACACTAAATAAGATCCATAGTGACATGAGAGCAGTTTGACAGTAATTTGTTTGAGAATACTTTTAAGTAATTTAGTTTTAAAAGCTGAATATGCTTTTGTTCTAATGAAAGGCTAAATCCTCACATCTTAGCTTCACACTCCCTAGATAATTGTTAAGTCCAGAGAGTAAGATTACAAACAATCGTCGGTCCATTGCCATGCAACTATATCTATTTCAATAAAGTTTCAAACATTTTGTTACTTATCAAAGTGGCTCAATTTAATAAATCAAATTAGATCCAATGTAAATAAACAATTTTTTCCACAATATATAAAATTAAATGATTATAATCTGATATTAACAGAGCCCACACTCTCAAAGAAAAAATAATTATATTATTTTTTTTTTCAAAATGAGGTATCAATGGATGTATTGAAGATAATTGATTATGATAAGTTAACATTGATTACTTCCTAAAACGACTATGAAGATTGCTACGAAGTGGAAAAACACACCATTTCTCTTATTTCTAATTCTTGTAAAATGTATGCTGAAATGAGAACAAAATTTTTAAATAAGGTATATATATATTCAAGAAGTAAGAAAGAAATTGTACTTCAGTCTCAATGCATTGATTAAATCATTGTATTTTTGTTATTCAAATATTAAATACTAATATTTTTGGTCTTATTTTATGAATACATTTAGACAAATAAAAAATAAATACTGTTCTACAATGAATAATGTTTACAATATTGTATACAATGTTCTACAATATTTTATTGTATGAAACCTATTATTTTTTAATAATGGATAAATGGTCTTTCCATAGGGATAATATGAGAGATCAAATACAAACACTTATAAAATTATACTTCTTTCCTAGACTTTGAAATTAATTTAATTATGTGGGCAAGAAACAACAAAAATTAAATAAATTATAAACACGAACCTGAAAGAAATATTGATAATATTAACAGCTAAGCAAAATACAAATAACTTCTTTCATAAATAATTGGCACAAAGAAAATAAATAAATTTATTTATTTCTACTTTGTACTTCCAATGACTGCTATCTCCTACCGGCTTCTCTTCAACAATATCCCCAACAGTCAACAATTATCCACCATCATGAATAAAATCAACTATATATGCTATATCTTGACCATATTTCAAATTTTACAACTTTTATCATATATCGAGACCATTAAAGTAATGGATTAGTTTTTTTCCTTCCAAGACCGGATTAAATATGGTATAGTTTCATAACCTATTGATTGGAAAAAGTTGTTTTACAATCTTAGTACAATTTCTTAAAAAATGACAAAGTTCGTTAATTAGATAACAATAAACAAAACAAATAGTTACCGGTGACCAAGGAGATCACGTAACAAAAAGCCAATAAAATAGTAAAGTTAGCTCACTTTGAAGGAGGCAAAGTAGTGGACATTCCCTCTACGTAGTTGGCCTAATACCATCTTAAAATTAATTATTGCCTTCAATATTTATTTCTCGGAACCAGCGTGAAATAAATACTTAAAAAATTATTACTTACTGAAATTATTAGAGTTTAGATTTTAGAAATTAATACGTTAGAAACTATTACTCTAAAAATACGCCTGCGAAACCGTGTGTATTACATGTTATAGAAACATTTCTAAATTTCCAAATAAATCATTATTAGAAAATAATAATTTGAATTTTATTGATGTTACTTTATTAATAGTAATTTTTATTTAGATATCAAATTGAAGTTCTTATGAAACTTAAAACCATTGCATAAGAAACGGTGGGCGATGTGAAACAAGGGCAGATACAAACATTCGGATAGGATATTTTACCTTCGAAGGAATGGAAGAATTTATTTATCTGCATATTTTGGTGTACTCCAACAATGACATGCAACCTGAGATAGGCCGAAGAATAATGGTGGCAAATAGGTTCTATTTCGTACTTCAAAGACAAAGCTAATCCCTTTCCTGAACAACAAAACTGCATTTTTACAACTAGTTAATAACACCAGTCCTAACTTATCATTCGGAATATTGGACTATGTCGAAAACCTCTGAGAAATTCTTACTGCGATGTGAACGCCGAATTCTTCGCAAAACATTTGGTTCAGTCTGTGTGACCCAAGGGTGGAGGCAAAGAATAAGTGCATAACCGCATGAACTGTTCCAGGATAGTGACATGGTTAGATTTATTAAGGTTGGTCGACTCCGCTGGGTAGGTTATGTGGCTAGGATGCCTTATAACCAAATTCAAAAATCTATTCTCATTGGGTCTAAGTATCTTTTTAATAACATTCCGTATTATTCCCTACTCTACCTTAATAGACTACTTATTTGTTTCCACATTTTCGTTAGAAACATTGGGGTAATTTTTGATCAATACCTGTCCTGGAATAGCCATATTTCCCAAATTAACCGAAATCTGTTGCTACCGTCAAACTGTTACTGAAGTTCTATCCCTTTGATTCTATCCCCCTAAAAACCAGTCGGCTCCTATTTGCCTCTCCTATTTTTCCCCAATTCGACGACTATGACTCTCTTGTATACTGTGGATTGTCTAGTGGGCATGAGATTAGATTGGTGTGGCTAATGAATTGTTTCATTATATTCATCTTTCGAGTCTCCAGGTGCTCTTAAGTATGTAGTTGGTATGCCGAGTTGAAGTGGCTGTACCTATCCAGTTTTTTGACGACAATATTTTTTACGTATATTCCTTTTCAGAATCTTTAAATCTAAAAAAACCTTGATTTATTTACTTATTGTTCCTCTGTCCATTCCATTTTACGAAATCCCTGAAAACAAAACACAAGTATTCCTTCTCATAGAACTGTTTTGCGATTCTTTATTATGCGTGCTACCTTGTTTTGGAATTCCTTACATTATTTAAATAAAATAAATTGTTTTATCCTTTTGAAAAAATATTTTTTCTAATTATTTATCTTATTACGGTTGATTAAGGTTAGACTAAAGGCGGGAAATGCTTGTTATTTTTCTGTGACAAAACTACTTAGTTCGCGCCTCTTGTCTCGGAACTTAAAAATTAGAATCTATAAAACAATTATCTTGCCTACAGTTCTTTATGGATGCGAAACTTGGCCGCTTACATTAAGGGATGAGCAGCGTCTTAAGGTTTTTGAAAATAAAGTATTGCGTAGAATATTCGGACCGAAGAAGGATGAGTTAACCGAAGAGTTCAGACGGTTACACAACACCGAATTGCGTGAGCTGTATTCGGGTAATATAATTGATGTAATTTCATCGCGGCGAATCAAATGGGCTTGTAAAGTTGATGGGCTTAGTAACGTGAGAATTCCTAAAAGGTTAATATTTGCTGTGCCGAATGGTAAGCGTCCGAGGGGTAGACCGAAGCGAAGGTGGGAAGATTGCATTAAAGCCGATCTGAAGGGACTGGGTTTGGACGGCGAACGGTGGAGGGAGGTGTGTAACAAGCGATTGGTGGTGTCGGCATCGAACCTTCGGGTTCGCTAAGCCTTATTATTATTATTATTTCCATTCTTTATTCTCGCTTTGCGGGGTAAGTTTCTGAGGTGGGAGACCAGAAGTCCAGCCACTTCAGATTAATATCATTTACTTTTTAAATATTTAAAAACTTTCGAACAATACGTGCCGTATCCAAGAGAACCGAGTGTTGAGCCTCTTTCAGCACTTCAAGAGGTAATTTTAATCCCATCGTGCCTGCCACTGTTGTCTTTGGTATCAATCCATTGGAGGATATTATAATTGGAGTGGTGGTGACGTTCCCCAAATGATATAATTCCTTCAGTTCGATTGCCAGTTCCTGGTATTTTCTCAGTTTTTCTCCAACAGTGGAGCTTATATTATTATCATTGGGGATCCCGACATCAATAAGGATGTCTGGTTTATTGTAACGCACAGTATGGTCAGTTATTATCGATTCATCCCAGTAGAGCTTGAGACTACCTTTTTGGAGGAGTTTATTTGGGTGGTACTTATAATATGGAGTGTTGTCATCTAACAAGTTGAACTTCACCGCCAGAGCCTGATGAAAAAGTCTAGCCACATTGTTATGCCTCTGGAGATACTCGGTGCCAGCCAAAACTCCACACCCACCTGTGACATGTTGGATTGATTCCAGGGTCGCTGAGCATAATCGACATTTATCCGTAGTTGTTGCGTCTTTAAGAACATTTCTTCTATATGATCTAGTAGCAATAACTTTGTCTTGGATAGCGAGCAGAAATCCTTCTGTCTAGGAGAATATCTTTTCAGCTTTCAGCCATTCAATGGATATTTCCTTGTAAATCGAGCTATCATTTAATTTGCTGTAGAATCTTCCATGCAGAGATTTATTTTTCCATTCTGTCAAGCGTTCGTTTTCTGACACGATTGTAGAGACCTCACGATTGCTCAGGTTAAGTGCGGTTAGACCATAAGCCAATCTTGAGATTGCGAGGTAAACCTCAGTTGTTTTTGTAAGAAAGTATCGGCGTAGGGCCGCTTCCTGCTTGCGGCAAGCTTCTTCGATATTTAGCAAACCACGTCCTCCTTCTTTCCTAGGCAAATACAGACGAGCTTTGGATGATATTGGATGGTGGGCCCGTTCTTGTGTGAGAGTTGTTCGCACAAGGCGGTCGATCTCCTGTAGGCTGGTGTTTGACCAGTGCAATATGCCGAAACTATAACCGAGAGCAGGTATTGCCCAGGTGTTAATGGCCTTGATTTTTTGTTTCCCGGTTAGCTGGGTTTTGAGCACTTTCCGCAATCTAATTTTGAACATTGTCAGAAGGTCTTGTTGCATATCTTTTCTTGCAATTTTAAGATGTTGCTGCATTCCCAGATATTTATATAACCTATTGTCTTCAAGCTCCCTGATGTACTCTTTTTCGTTGATTAGAATATTCTGCATACTAACCACTTTTCCTTTGGTTACATGGAGCACCGCACATTTATCCAGACCGAGTGACATGCCTATATCACTACTAAAAGATGAAACGGCTTCAACCATGCTTTGTAATTGGTCTTTGTTTTTCGCATATAGTTTAAGGTCATCCATGTACCAGCTGTGGCTGACTGTGGTAGCTTCGTCGTTGATGATTAATTTGTATCCCATCTTGTTCTTTCGAAGAATCCTGCTTAGTGGGAACAAAGCCATACAGAACCATAAGGGGCTTAGACAATCTCCTTGGTATATTCCTCTCAATATTTTAATTTGATTCCCTGTGCAGATAGTTCCAACTTTCAGCGTAGTTTTCCAACCTGTCATTAAGTTTGAAAGGAGCCTGCTTACTTTAGATTCAACCTTGTATATATCTAGTACTTTAAGTAGCCAGCTGTGGGGAACCGAGTCAAAGGCCTTTTTATAATCGATCCATGCCATAGAGAGGTTTCGCTGTTTTTTCGCAACTTGTGCTGCAATGAACGAATCTATTACTAGGAGTTCTTTACAACCCCTAGCACCTTTTTTGCACCCTAGCTGTTCTATGGGTATTATATTCTCACTTTCGAGGTGCTCATATATCTTAGTTGCCAAGATGGAAGTTAGAATTTTATACAGACCATTTAAACACGTTATCGGCCGAAAATCTTCAGGACGCATGTTTAAGTCATTCTTTTTCGGAAGCATATACGTGATGCCATCAGAGAAACCATCAGGGGGCTCTGTTTGTCTTCAAGTATTTCCTGGTAACCTTTGGACAGCAATTCATGGAAGCAATGAAATCTTTTAATCCAGTAATTTTGGATTCCGTCATGTCCTGGTACCCTCCAATTTTTCATGTTTCTGACCGCTTCCGAAACATCTTCCACAGTTATGGTCACTTCCACCATTCCATTGACATTCTGAAGACTTTGCAGTTCTTCTTGTATCCAAGAACTCTCGAGGTGATTCCCCGATTTTTCCCATAAATTTCTCCAATGGATTTCAATGTCATCAGGGTATTTGATCGATATTTTTTCTTCTTTTACAAGGTTTCTATAAAACTGACGTTCATTCTGCTTGAACAGCTGATTTTGTTTCCTGCGTAAAGCTGCCTCACTATATCTGCGCAATCTGCTGGCGTAAACTGCCAGCTTTTGTTTCAGAATATCTAGATATCGAGTCAGACTATCAATTAACTCACATTCCATTACGGTTCCCAAATTCTGTACTATAATCTCATCTATCTTCCTTTTTGTCTTAGGTCTTGCAGCTTGAGGGTTACGAATATAGTTTAAGATGACGCCAATTTTTCCACGTAAGGTATCAATTTTCCTTTGAAGTCTTCTCTTCCACTGTGGTATTCCACTATATCCAGTTGGAAGTTTATTTTTACTTTTATCTTCCATTTTTATGCCCAGTTCTAATGTAACTATCTTGGCAGCAATATATAG